CCTGGGGGGTGATTTCTCACTTTCTGTCTCTCTGTCTCTCTCTGTCTTTTTGGCAAGCACATGTGCCCTATAACAAAAACCTCTCCAAAAGAAGAGGGGGGCAGTCAGCAGATGGCATAGCGGTTACATCACTGGGCTCGCACATGGCCTATCATGGTTCGAGTCCTGGACCCTTCGCTTGAAATTCATGCTGGGCGTGTATGTGTGTGTGCCCAAGATCCCAGGAGGAGAATGGAGACGGGATTGCAGCGAGCCAATGCCCGCTAAGGGATGATTTCTCACTTTCTCTCTCACTGTTTCTGTCTCTGTTTCTCTCTCTGGTGAGTGCACACACCCTAAGGCAAAAACCTCTTTAAAGAGAGAGAGAGAGAGAGAGAAAGAGAAGCCTCATGTCTCAGCTGTGAGTCCTAGAAACAGGAGTCTTGACCAGTGGGCGAGTTCTCCATGGTCCCGTCTCACCTCTGCTTTAAGTCCTCTCATATTTCCATCCTGTCCACCCCGTCACGGCCACACCCCACTCCACCTCCCCAGCCGCCTCCTCTTCTACCTCCTCCTCCCTCCCCATTCTTCTCGCTAGTTCCTGAACACAGCAGGCACGTTTCCACTCCAGAGCCTCTGCCTGGTTCCCTCTCTCTCCTCTTTCAGTTCTCACCTCCAGGGTCACCTGCTCAGAACTTTCCTGACCACTCCAAATGGCAGACTGAGTACCCCGTCCCACAGTTGTCACATGGCCTTCCCTAGCTTGAGTTTTCGCTGAGTGTGTCTTTCTCTTTTTAATAGCAAAGGGTATGTGCATGTCCCTGAGAGAGAGACAGAGCGAAGGAGAGAGACAGAGAGAGAGAGAGAGACCTCGATGGAGTCTGGTCATGTCACAATCCCCATTCTGCATTTCTCCTTCCCACCAGGATTTTTGGGCGCATGTCACACATGTACCCAGCATGATTTCCAAGCCACCGAGGCCAGGATTCAAACCACAGTAGGGCAAGTGGGAGCTGGTTCCCTCCACCCACATTTAACTACTGTGCTATGGAGCTAGCCATGTGTTCGCTTTGAACTTTTTGCCATAGGGCGCATGTGCTCGCTGTAGAGACAGAGGGAAAGTGAGACATCACCCCCCAGGGGAATGGCCATGCCACAATCCCCTCTCCGCCATTCTCCTCTCGGGATTTTGGGCACGCGTGCACACACACACACACACACACACACACACACACATGGCATGGTTTTCAAGCCATCAGGTTCAAACTCGAACTGCACAGGTGGTCACGTGGGATCCAGCCTCTTTCACCACCATGCCAGCTGGCCGGCCCCCTTTCCAGACTTTTGAAAAGTGTGGCAGTGTAAATACTATGTGTTGCATGACACCTTTAGTGGGGTCCAGGATAATGCCCCCAAAGCAAACCATTTATTTTATCTGCATCAAAGCAAAAATATTCACTCAAGTGAAATAAATAAAAGTTGAACATAACCTCATGTCAGTTCAAGTCAAGGTTTGTCACAAATGAATTCTTTCAAATTTTATTTTATTTTATTATTTATTTATTTATTTATTTTTGAGAGATTTTCGCTATAGGGAGCGTGCGCTCGCCAGACAGAGAGAGACATAGAGACAGAAAGCGAGAAATCACCCCCCAGGGGGATAGCCACGCCGCAATCCCTTCTCCTCCATTCTTCTCTCGGGATCTTGGGCACACACGCACACACGCCCGGCATGAGTTTAAGCCACCGGGTCCGGGACTTGAACTGCGGTCGACTACATGGGAGTCCAGCGACATAGCCATTATGCTAACTGATGGTCCCTCAAATTTTACTTTTCAGGCCAGCAGATGAGGTGGAGGTTAAGGGCCTGGATTATACATCCTGGTAGCTTGAAAATCACATTGGGTGCACGTGTGTGCATACCCAACATCCCAAGAGAAGAATTGAGAGTGCACACACACACTATAGCAAAACTAAAAATATAATAATAATAAAATAGGGGGCTGGCAGGTGGCGTGGTGGTTAAGGGTGCTGTGCTGGATTCCCACATGGCCAACAGTGGTTCGAGTCCCGGACACAGCAGCATGCTTTCTCACTTCCCTTCTCTCTCTGATCAAATGATAATAATAATAAGTAAATAAAGTTAAATGAAAAATTACTTTAAAAATGAAATTTAAAAAGTTAGTTTTCCGGCTTTTATGAAATTTGGAATTGTGGGTTCATATAGAGTTTATTTATTTTTAAAGATTTATTTATTTCCATTTGTTATCATTATTTTAGTTTTTAAAAGAATTATTTAACTTTATTAATTTATTTTTAATTTGACCAGAGAGAGACACACAGAGAGAGAGAGAGAGAGAGAGAGAGAGGGAAGTGAGAAAGCAAGCTACCATGTCCAGGATTCAAGCCATCGTTGGCCATATGGGAGTGTTCAGCACCTTAACCACCATGCCACCCACTGGTCCCATAATTATTTCTTAATTTGACTAGAGAGAGAAAAGGAAAGTGAGAAAGCATTCCCCCAGGTCCAGGACTCAAACTGCCATCAACCATGTGTCAATCCAGTGCCCTTAATCACCACACCACCTGCCAGCCCCATGTAGTTTTTTACCTTAGTTTTTGTTACTCATGTGCTGGGACGTAAGCTCTAGGAGGGGAGGGATGTATGCCTGTTTTGTTCCCTGCTGTCAGCTGATGCCAAGTTCATATATTGAAATCCTAACCTCTAAGGTGATGGTGTTGGGAGGTTGGGTCTTTGAGGCATGATTAGGTCATGAGGGCAGATCCCTCATGAATGGAATTCGTGCCCTTATAGATGGCAGCCCCAGAGAGATCCTTCATCCTCCTGCCATGTGAGACTGCAGTGAGATGGGTGTCTCTGAGGAAGCAAACCCTCCCTAGTCCCTGAAGTTGCTGGTGCCTTGACCTTGGACTTCCCAGCCTCCAGAACCGTGAGCGATACATTTCTGTTGCTTATACATGATCCAGTCTATGGTATGTGTCGTAGCAGCCAGAATGCACAAAGATAATCTAGCACATACTCTGTGTTGCTCTATGCTGCCTGCTGAATGAACAGATGGGGGAGAGGGGAAGGAGCCGCCCTTTTCTGGTTCTTAGGACTCTGGGTCTCAAATGTCCTGAGTCCCTCAGAGCCACGGTGGTAGTGGCAATGGTGATAGGTTGTTCCTGTGTTCTGTCCCAGCCTCCATTGACTTCTCGGGGGGTTGAGACTTCACCCGGCCTCATAATCACCGCCCTTGTGCTCATCCATGCACCTGGCCAGGTGTTCAGCTTGGAGGTTCGTAGCACTCTGCAGTGTCCCCCTTCATTCTCACTGAGGATCTCCTTGCCCTACACTTTATGCCTTCTGTCCCCTAGCCACGATCAGAAATGGGCCAGCCATAGGGACCAGCAGTTGGCGTAATGGCTGTGTCACTGGACTCCCACGTAGTTGACCGCGGTTCGCGTCCCGGACCCGGTGGCTTAAAACTCATGCCGGGTGCGTGTGCGTGCGTGCCCAAGATCCCGAGAGGAGAATGGAGGAGAAGGGATTGCGGCGTGGCCACCCCCCCTGGGGGGTGATTTCTCGCTTTCTGTCTCTCTGTTTCTCTCCGTCTGTCTGGCGAACAGCGAAAAACTCGCTAAAAAAAAAAAAAAAAAAGAAAGAAAGAAAGAAATGGGCCAGCCGCCTGAAGAACACAGGCACGTGGGGCCCCTCGCTGTGTGTCTGCGTGCCGTGGTGGCTTGTGGGGCTGTCCCACATTAGACAAAGAGAGCCTGACACTTAATAACTGCACGGTTGCCCTCAGAGACACTGGGATGACAACCCCCCACTCAGCTTCTCAAGCATCCAGACCCGTGATTCATGTCCTCCACACCCCACCACCCTGGGGAGGAAGGCAGGTGGCCAGACTTGTGTTACAAACAGGTCTTTATTAAAGGTGAGAAGCCAGGTCTTTATTAAAGATGGGGAGAGGGCAGAAAAGGGGGGCAGAGTCTTCTCTGCCCACTGCCTTTGGCTGCCCCGGGGTGGAGGAGCCCCTTGGTCCACCCATGCCCCCCGTGATGGCACATGTGCACAAGGCTGAGAAATGGGGGGCAGTGTGAAAAACAGGGGTGGTTCCCAAGAGACCAAAAAAAAAAAAAAAAAAGAGAGAGAGAGAGAGAAAGAAAGTCCTTTTTTGCAGCCCTAATAAATAACAAATGGGTCTGGGGTGACCTGAGCACAGGCCAGGGGAGACACAGCACCCAGGACCCCAAAACTTCTGAACTGGGGTAAGCCCTGCTTAAGTGGGGGGTGAGGAGAGACTGAGTGGGAGGCTGCAACTGGGGGATGGACTGAGAGGGGAAGGGGTACCTTAAGGACCCTGCCACGGGGGAGCCTGCCCCCCTCTCCAGCTGACTCCCTGATTCCCAGGAGCGGGGAGTTCCTCACCTCTCTCTCCTTTGCACATGCTTAGACCCTGGGCGGTCCCCCATTGACTGGAATCATACCCACCCTCTCTAGAGACTCTGAAAACCAAGGGCTCTGATTGGCTGTTCAGACACTGAACACTGGCTGGAGTTGCCCTCTTGCCTGAGGCGTCTAAGAAGTCATGGGAAGGCTCCCATTGGCTGGAGTAAACGCCTTTATATGAATACTGAGAGCTCAGGGCTCTCATTGGCTGGACATCGGCCAATGGCGTCAGGCTATGGCCCTTAAAAGGGCAATGCGAAGGGGCAAGGACCTACCTCGCAGTTCTGCCCACTGCCGTGTCCCTAGAGGGCAAGAGAGGCAGGAGGTTCCCCCAGATTTCCCTCCAGCCGTCTTCTAATACCTAGGCCTGGCTGGTTTAGGGGCAGGGGGCTTTGGCACTCACATGGCACACGCACACACACGCGTGGCAGGGGAGAAATGGAGACGGGGTAGGTTCTGGGGGGTGGTCAGGCCTCACAGCAGGTGGTCACGGCTTGCAAACAGGTAAGGGCTGAAGTTGTCCCGGTGAAAGGGAGAGGGGTAGAGTCCGCTGAGGGTGTACAGGTCCCGAAGCAGGGGCGTGGGCAGCAGCAGCTTCCGGCCGCGCCCACCACCTCCGCCTGGCCCCCCAGGTCCAGGGGAGGAGGGGGAAGGGCCCTGGCTAGGAGTTGGTGCTGGCAGGGGGAGGGGGAGCGGCAGGGGCGTCGGCTCTGACCTCAACCGAGGACGGGGCACACGGGGTGACGAACACATGGCTGGGGCCCTGGACGACACGCAGCTGGGGATCAGGTGGCCACGGCGGGCGCAGTTCTGCGGCTCTAGGTCAGGAGGCAGAGATCGGGGAGTCAGAACGCTTAGGACGGGACCACGAAAACACGGGTGAGACCTGTGTGTCCCCCCCCACTCCCGCCACACTCACTGGATGGGGTGAGCCGTGCCGGTGTCGGATGCGGCCTGCAGGCCTCGGGTTCCTGAGACAAACAGGTAGAGGGACAGGGCTAGCGGCCCCCCGGGCCCCGCCGGCCACAGCCACAAGGGGCTCGTCAGACAGAGAGCCCCACGGAAAAGAGAAGCAGCTTTCTCAGGAGTAATAGTGTCCCCTGGGGAGGGACAAGGGGTACACCCTTCCATTCTTCAGGGCTGCCCCCCAGGATCTAGGCCCACCTCTCCATAGCCCTCAGAACCATCCCCAACTTCCTGCCTCTTTGGGCCGCCTCCACCCACCACCCTCTCCAGCCGGGGGTGGTCCCCGGCCCCCCTTACCTGGGCCACACTTAACTTTTCGAGGGGGCTGTCCATGGTGGGGGCTTGGCCTAGGTCCTCCCAGGGAGAGAGCTTTCGGCTAGAGGGCAGGCGACTCTGGAAATTGTGTACCACGCAGGTGACCTGGGACACAGGGAAAGGGGCGTCTTGAGGTCTGAGACCCATAGCACAAAGGCTAGGGAAGCAGAAACTGAGGCTCAGGGTTTTAAAATTAGCTAACATATTTACTGGGTGCCAAGTACTACTCTTCCCACTTCAAAAAAAAATTATTTATTTTATTTATTCATTCATTTATTTTAATTTGAACCAGAGAGAGAGACAGAGAGAGAGAGGGAAAGTGAGAAAGCAAGCCACCAGGTCCAGGACTCGAACCGTGGTCAGCCCTACCCACCACGCCACCTGCTGGTCCCCTCCACTTTTTCTTTCTTACAAAATATTCTTAAATTATTATTATTATTATTCAATTTGACCAG